GTGCCACCTGGCAGTATCATCAACATGCAGACTTCCACGCTCAACATTTTCCCTATGTCAGAAGGCCATTCCCCAGTCGTTCGCCTTTTAGTTTGAACCGAAACTAGCCTCTGCTGCTACTACTACTGTATTTATAACCGTTGTGTTATATAGTTAAATACTATAAATATATAGTACAGTATTTAAATCAGTTTCATTTCCGTGGGTTACCCTGTGTACCGGGTAGAAGAACAGCAACCCTTTTTGAAAATTTATTTTAGCATTGTACCGTAATTCTTATGCCTAAAATATTTGAAGTTGAAGTGTTGATGAAATTATGCTTGACTATTCAATAGTTCTGTGCTGTACTGGTTAAGGAGTGCACCAAAAAAAAGGTGGGAAGAATGGCAACCATGTACCGTATATTCTGGGTGTACGCATTTTTTCTGTTTTCTTTATTTTGGTTTGCCATCTTATTGTGAACGAATGACTCACAAACAATTTTTTTTATTTCTACAGCCCGTGTACATGTGATTTCGGATGAGACAGCGGCTGGTCTATGAAAGCGCACCTGCTGTCGTTGCGAAGGGTTCGCCTGCGATCAACACTTCTAGCAGTTTGGTCTCTAATTGCGACACTGACGAGCTTTTGGGGAATCTTTGGCAGTCGTGATGAAAATGCTTCAAGCTCATCAACTTGTCTGCCTTGTCATGGCATTACCCGGGAGAGCTCGGTGAACACCTCTATGCGTCTCAAAGGGTTTCAGAAATCAGATCCCCTGGAAACTGAGCCTAGTTTTTCCTGCTACTCCTCCAAGAGTAGTCATCCTCGCAAAAACCAGGTGAAATGGGGGGAAATTTGTTTTGCTTTTCTTGAATATGCGTGAGGATAGGTTTACTGAAGTGATGACTTGCGTGTGGAAAGGGAGATGGAAACTTGTGTGCGTTTTCTGGATCAAGACTTCTGATCTGCTCATTATAATTCATGGAAATGATAGTGGCATCGTAAAGGAAACGATTTTTTCTCTTCTCAGTTTCAAAAATTTACATCAATGAATTACAGTATTTTATACTGTAAGCAAGGTGATACCCGAGCTAGAGACACACGCCCTTCCTCCTGACGTTTTTCCTAAACTTCTTTGTTCGTTTCTAGGGAAAATTGCCTACCATATATGTCATTACCCCAACGTACGAGCGACCAGCACAATTGGCAGATCTAACCCGGATGGCGCAAACGCTGGCTCACGTGGCTGAGCTCTTTTGGGTGCTTGTGCAGGATAGTCGTGAAAGGGAACCCCTCGTCCACGACTTCCTGCGTTACACGAACATCAATTACACCTACATAACTGGTTCGTAACACAATTAATTCTGTATGTGTTTTTTTTACCTATACGTAACTGATTCTGGACATAATTACTGTACTTCTGGATTTATTCTGTTCATTTACGTAACTGATTCGTGACATAATAAATTTACCTTCTGAATATATTTTATTTTACACCTACACGACTGAATCGTGTCATGATCACTTCTTTATATGTGTTTTACTCCTGCATGACTGGTTCGTGACATAACTAGTTCCACATAGTTACCCTCCTATACATTTTTTTTGCCCGTGCATAACTGTACGAGACTTACGATTTTGCTTTGAGAACCATTAGCCACAGCTTGTTATCCAATTTCTTGAGAAATTTCAAGAATTGGTGAGTCTTAAATAAATTCTTACTATTACGTCTAACAGCAAGTTTATTACCGACCTCGAAACTTGAGACAACAACTCTTATCCTGGGTTTTTATTAATGTCTTCCGCGTGCTTTGCGGGCCAAAGGTTTTTTAGATAGTTTAATTAAAGCATACACCAGGATCTCACGTAGAGAGGCAATATATGTATTTCAGTGCAGC